ATATATATATATATATTCGAACCAAGTTTGCAGGCCCGTGGTCTTCCTTATCTGTCAACGGACGAATCACGATTGCGGTTTTGGCGAGTTTATATTTCTTGTAAATGGCATTAACATTGACTTGCTGTTCAGCTTGGTCATTGGTCTCAGCAGAATTTCGTTTCCTCCGCGTCATACTCCGAGTTTGGTGCACTGACTCGTCCGGATCTTCCACGGGCTTCGGAATGTCCAGCATCTGATGAAAAAAAAAGACGAATAAGCATCCGGGTTTGGATGATCGAATAGTCAACAACACTTCGACGTGGATCTTTCACAAAGACACTAGCGCACGTGCACTAAAAAATTTAAATTTCAAAATTATCCCGATTTTTTACGTGAGCATGGGCAACTGATTTCCAGTGATCACTCAGTAATACAGGTATCCCTAAAAAAGGCCTCTATTTATTAAATTTTGGCACATTTCTGTGGCACAAAGTGAGCTGGCAGTAAATCGGAATTTTCCTCAGGAACACACTCGAGGAAGGTTTATTACTGAGAAATTTGTGGCACTAAATCGGGTATTAACTGCACTGTATTTAAAGACACTGTTCTGGAAGAGTATTCAAATTAACCTTCGCGGAATCAGTCAGTTCAATTCATTTCTAAAAAAATGGAACGATTCCACTTTCCAACTGTTTCCGAGACTCAAATTCAACAAACAAACCTCATGTCCTTCCGCATCTTGGTCGACGAAGAAACCGGGTCGCCGGTTCCTCAGGTCCCGAATTTTCGACCAGAACACGGAAAGAAACTCGTCACACGCGACGACGAATCCATAGCAATCCACACATACTTCAAACGCGTCAGTGCCGACATCCGGACGAAGAGACTCCATCTTCACCAGGAAATCTTTCACATTCACACCGCACTTGAGCACTGCACTCAGAAACTTGTTCAGCCCTCGCCCCTCGATGGGCTGGGCGCAAACGCAACAATCCATCCCAACAACTGTCTACAAATAGAAAAGGGAGGTTTAGAAACGTGAATTTCGACTATCAAAAAAGCGCATAAGCCAGAATACTTGGGGGAATACGTGGGGACGTCTAAAAATTTACAAAAACCATAGGAGTTAATCTCGAGATAATGTGTGTTACAGCGAAGAAGGTTCAGCGTTATTTATCACATCACAGCGCCTGATTTTCACACACACATTTGAATGCTGTAATTTTATTATGAACCAACATGGGCAACTTGAATAAGGGCTTTTCGACCTTTTTCTGAACGATGTTAGTTCCACATGATACTTCCAGAACACAAATATGGAGTTGAACCACTTAAAATCGAATTTAAAGTGACCAGAGAAAAAATCGAGGATGGAAGGTTCCGAACTTAAGTAATTTTGTTGCAAAAGTGAAAGAAGAATTGCAGAGAATTGTGATCGGTGATATTCTGGGCCTTGATTTGTTTCTTAACTAAGTTGACAGGATGACGAACTCGGAGAAAAGGGTTCATTTGCCTGATTAGTCCTTTGCTTTTTTCAAAACACATCGTTGCATTTTTCATCTCTTTCATCTTTTCTGTGTCAATAAAATAATAGCCGAACGACTTCCAGAAAATCCGAATATCCCGAAAGAATTCGAGTCAAAAAGGTTTCTATCGCATTGCTCCTACGAAGATTTAGACACGGGCTTGAAAAAAATATAACAGAGTTACTGCATTTGAATTAGGGAGGTTCCAGTGATGGAGGTTCAACTGTACCAATATATTTACGCAAATGTCACACAGCCCTTTCTTCCCTGGAAAATTGAAAGAAAATCAAGTGCAGTTACACATTGTTCCGAGAAAAAAATTATCACGAAATCAGTGGGGCGCAGGGAAAGGACGAGAAGGTGTCAAAATACAGCACATTTCGTGATGAAAATTTGCAGGGCATTTCCTTCATAGAAATACAAAAGCATGAAAACAGCACACACACTCAACAACCGACACGAGCGACCTTCTCGTGACACTTGGCCTCATGGGACTTGAGCAACTCGCAAGTATAAAACTCCTCGTCGCAATCC